CTGTGCAGAAATTTGCATGAGCCTCTTATCCGCACTGTTGCCCAAACAACTCTGAACTGATAAACATAAACGTAAAAGCATAAGCAGGGTTTAAATGAAATCCTTGCGATGTTTGAGATTTGAATAGGTGATCCAGACACTGATCGTACAGTATTTTGGGCACTGTAAATGTAAGGAATTAAGAGTTGGGGTTTGTGGAAATGAATATCGGCCCCTTGACTCCCACCCCGAAAACCCCACGTTCCCCTTCAGTGACTCCCTGACATTTCTCTGAACCATGCACTTGAAATGTTGCACTGTAATTGATGTTGATCCTAGCATGTGTGCAGGCTGCACTACAAATTAGGATGGAAAAGGTTATCATAATATTTAGCTAGTCTAATTTGTCAGCTGAATAACTTCCCAATGGAGAAATTCAGAACAGGAGGATATATTTTAAGTGAAAATCAAAGTTTTTGTACACTGTGTACACTGTGAAGTAATGTGGTTTCAACAAACAGGCCATGAGAGCTAGTTCTCTGCAAGTTTTGTGAAACAGAGTAGGGTTTAGTTGTCACTTGTTTCTCAGGATTCATCCGTTTAAAGAGTCAAATACCCAGTTCACATATTGCTCAGTTTGATAGGCACAAAACAGTTTATGCAACATGGCCATACACTATAAAAAAAAAAAAATCAACCCACTAAATAGTAAAAAAAAAAAAAAAAAATTAATTCCACCCTTAATGTCATACAAGGCATGTATTGGGAGCCTCAGAATCAGTGCACACGTGTTTGCCTCCGGATAAATTCTCTTCACTCCGTTTACTGGGTCATGTAGAAATGCTAGTGTAGGCACTGAATCAAACCCAAGTGGAGGAATTCGATCTGTGCCTGTGGCAAATGTCAACAGATCATCAAATGTCACTCTGACTTCTTCCTCTACCATCAACACAGCATCTCCACCTAAAATGGAAAAAAAAAAAAAAAAACTTAATTGCTACCTTACATTAAGTAAAATTAAAGAGGTGTCAAAGTGACAACCTGCAGTGGTGTTTTTTTTTTGTTGCACTTTTTAACCACTTTGAATTGAATTTCTAAAGAAGAAAATCAAGTTGAAACTGAAAACATGATACATAAAATGAAACCTGAAATGATTGTGACAAGTTACATTGATGGACACAAAAAAATAAATGTTATAAAAAAATTGCATTATTCAAAAATTAATGAATGATTGATTACAGGTATAATTATTAATGTTGTTAATAAGTATAATAACATAATAATAATAATTATTATTTTATTGAAGCATTTTGTTATTCTGTTTTTTTTTTTGTTTACACATATACACATTAATATTTCCTGTTCTAAATATTTATTATTCGTTTGTCAATATCTGATCTCTATCAATTTGTTTTGGCGTCCCCTAGCGCTCTACATAAACACTTTAATCATTGTTATAATGAGACTAAAAACTGCATTTAAAATGTCTTGAACCCATTTAATTGGTCATGGTTTATATATATATATATATATATCTGTACATTATCATAAACATTTATTTTATTTAAATGAGGATAAAACTAAGCATTATATTAGTTACTTATTGTATTAAATATGGTCATAACTTATTTTATTATTCATATCATGTATATTTTATTCTTATTTTTGATTAGGTAAATTGTATTTTAGTATTCAAGTTAGCAAAGTTTTGATTGAGTTTAAAGCTATTCTTCGATCCATTCTATGATAAGACCGACATAGTCTTTTGTTTATATTATCAGACCGGTCTCTACATCTCAGTAAGCATCATGATGTTTTTCAAGCTGGCAGAATTTGATATCAACTTGAATATAAAAGCAAAACATATTTTTCTAAGATGTTCGTTTAATTTCCTCCGTTGCAGGAGCAGATGATAACTGGGGCTTGATGAAGCTGTCGCGCGCGTATAGCAACACTGACCTGTTTTTACATAATCAACATCTAATCTGAAGGGTCGTTTAAGTCAGTCCAGCAGCGAGACATGTCTGATTCGAGGTACAAGATATCATGCATTATACAGTCATGGACAGGCTAACTAAAATATTGATGATTAAATAAGTCGATTTCAAACTAAAAAGAAATATTAGTCTATTAGGCCTAAATAGTTTCACCAATAAATAATAACAGAATGGCGGCTTTTAAAAAAAATAAGATTTAGACTTCAAAAAGTAGCCTATGCTTTACAAAGAGAGGAAGCAACATAACTGACTCGTGAACTGAAAAGTCATTTATTCGGCAATTTTTTGCACCGTCTGGTTTCATGTTTGCTGCTCAACACGCAATCGGGGAAAATATTTGCGTGTTTTGTCTGACAGAACCAAATAATTCAGACGTGCGAAACGATTATATTTGTTTTCCTTTTGGTGAAATTGTCTGTGGCAACGAAGCCAGGATAAAGAAAAACAGTTACTACGGCAACAATCCTTTCAGGATATATCTCTGTCTCTTTTTTCTTTTTAAATATGCAATTGCAGAACATATGGTTACTCACTGTCAAAGCTGTGATTCTTCATTTGCATAGCCTACTATTTTCCAAGTACACATTCCCCAGAAAACATGTGCAACTCCAGCAGATACATCATATATGGGAGGAAAAAAAGACAAATGTGTTCATAAGAAATCTACTAAGGCATAATTTACTACATTTATTGCTTTTATATTACTTGATTATTGCCCCTTCTTGTAGGAAACGCAGAGATATTAAATATTTTAACGCTGTTAATGTATTTTTCTTAATTGTTTTTATTCTTAATAAAAGTTCTTCATTAGTTTATTTGAAAAGACAGTAATTAAATCTCTTCCGACTGTGGACATACTTTTACTGAAACATTTTAAGACTTAATAAAACTGTTCGTTTAATGGAGTTTTATTTTAAATGAATAAAACACCTAATAGATACATTTATTTTGATTATTATGAAAAATTATTTCGCCATCAATATGACAGGCTTAAACTGATCTGTTTGATCAGAATACTTTATAAAATTATGAAAATACTAATTCTGTGAGGAATCTCACCCTACCCTATTTTATTTTACACTGTAGGTTTTTATTTTTAATGTTGTTGATATCATTTTTAGTAGATACTTCACAATATAGATGTATAGATTTATTTAACGTTTGTAATCCATGTTTTCAATCGAATTTCTTGTTTTTGTGTTTTTAAATGAGATATGAGTCATATACTGTTCATATTCCTTTTGGTCGTGTAACACCTGCACTATTGGCTCTATTCTCCATCTATTGTGGGGAGGAGTTTGGATGAGAGAGAAAAAAAAACAGACTCAAATCATGCGTAACTCGATAGACAGCCCATCTGTAAGATTCTTCCCTTTCTTTCAGTCTGAGCTCGTCGTCTCTTGTCCAGGAATAGGCTGATGGCGCTGTGTAAATGATTCATAAAGACCGACTGCTGTTTTAGAATGGGACATTTTCTAATTAAACAGGCAAAAGTTAGGGAAATGTAAGAAAAGCGCATTTTGCGTTTTCTTGACAAAATACATTTAGAGATGAGCTTGGATAGCCTATGTGTAGCCTATAGCCAATACAGCTAGGTTACGATAAGACAAATGTCGCGCAAAGAAAGTTGAATGTTTACGTTATAGCCTACGTAATAAGTAAAAATCGTGATAACAGACAGTATTTTAAAAAATCAGGGTGAATGAATGAATAAATAAACAATACAGTTTCTGTGAAGACTAAGCGGGCACTTTTTGGCCATTTTGACGCCATATTTAATTTTTCGCGATTGAAAATCAGAGTTATTTGTTCAAAAGGTTGTAGCTAATATATATATATTTTTTAGCTTTGCTGTCAATTATTGGGTGAAGCAATAATACTACGATAATCTTGTTGACAAAAAAACAAACAAACAAAAGAAAAACCATGTAACGTTTTGTGGAAAATCATGGCATTAAAATACATACCGAACACACTGCGTATACCCCCGCCCCCACGGCCTTTTTCAATCACGAAAAATTAAATATGGCGTCTAACACGACTAAACTCTTTTTTTTTTTTTTCTTGAAAGGCTCCTTAGGCTGCTAATTATAGCTAACTTCCCATACTAATACAAACATTTGCATTTATATACAGATTCATTACATTACTTGATCTTGTATTAATATTGTTTTCAACTGTCTGCCCATCTATTTCTTTAGCCGTCTGTATGTAGTGTCCCGCCGAACCAACTTTCAGGCTTAAATGCTGCATAAGCATACAGCGCCATCTGTCGATCATGAACCACTCTTGCGGAGGGCAGACAGCAGATAACACCTTCTTGATTTGGCAATGAAGCAGCAGCGTGCCAAAAGCACTAGCCCACAATATATGATCTTTTTCAAGCACTATGGCTTTATCACTCACCTTTGTGCTCTTATCTTCCAAGCTGCCATTCTGTGACTTGATCTCATTCCAACCCATAATTATATAACTAAAGAAATATTTTGTTAACATTTAATCAGCCATTTAGACAGAATTGCTGATATCAGTGTTACAAATCTTATCTTCACTTAAAGGGAACACTTAAAGAAACACACTGAAAATCTGTCATGAGCACATAATACTTTATGCGTACACAACCAGCTGCACTTTATTATTCCAACATCTCTGAAGAAAGCAAAAGAAAAAAACGTCTCCAGTTCACAGCACTTGGTCTTGCACTTGCACAGAACACTAACATAACCAACCCCCAAAGCATTCATAAGCACATAAACACAAAACCACAAAAGCTATAAATACTTTCCGCTATACATTTGTCAAGTTATCGTTGATGCAACAAGTTACCACAAAATCTTTGTGGTGGTATTTCTTAGCAGAATAATTTTGTTAATAAAAGACTTTATAAGTTAATTTTGTTTCTTATACATTATGACTTCTTTTGTGAGTTATACAAACAAAAACTGTTGATACAGTGTTTTCGACTGTGTCATGCCAGTTAATTGCAAAAATAATAATAATACTAATACATAATTTTATTCTCAGGTTAAGCTCCAAATTCCTTAAGAACAAAAGGAGCATGTAAGTTATGTTTGTTTATAGTAGTTTAAGTGCAGTTTTTTTGTTAGATTTTATGTGTTATTATACAGTATGATTGTTTTTGTATGTATGGCTAGATTGGCTTTTGTGGCTTAGGCACTGTGTGTATAGTGAAATTTGTGCTTGTTCTGTAGTGTACTGTTAAATGGAATTGTGCAGTACTTTTTTTATAAATTGTCAAGGCATTTACAGTTGGCTAAAGTGGTGATTTCGAAGTAGCCTATACATTTGGCTTGAGTTCTGCTGTTGTGCCCTTAAAGGGGTAGGCAGCAATTTACAGAACACTGACTCTGTCGCTGAGCATGCCCATCACAAGCTCGTCAGACTCCGCCTCTTCACAGACATCGGCATGAGGGTTGATTAAGTGGGCTGGGTACTGAAGGCCATTTTGTTCTGCAAAACGCTCCCAGCGCAAATCATCGCTTTCGTGGGTGATATATCGCTCCTGCATTTTGCACTCCAGAGTCCGCAGGTCCAGCCACATCTGGTAGTCCTGTCATAAAGATATATCTTTAGGGATCCACAATATTTCACACTGTTAAAAAAATAAATCAATCAATAAAACACTATCTATTTATATCTACCCTTGTTAAAAAAAAAAAAAAAAAAACTGTACTTGCAGGTAAATTGGTCACTTTCATCACTGTTTTTAACACACAAAGTACATTTTTTACTTAAATTACATTTTAAATCATTGTTTTAATAATCTATTTTCATGCTTTGAAGAAGTACATTTGTTTTATGTGTTGACTAACATACTAAAGCAAATGTAAAGTACTTGATTATCATTTTAACTGTAGTGTGTGATTTAATATGACATGTTTTATTTAATATATTTTAAATAGCAACTTAAATGACAAATGTGCACTTACAAATGTATTTAAATACTTGACATGCAAGTTTCAATAGAAATGACATTATTAGTATATTTTATTTGACCATAAATGTTTGTCAGTACATTCGACAGTACACTTTAATCATATTTCAAAGACAATTGAATTATGAAATTGCATATTGAGATGTATTTAAGTCCTACTAAAGTGAGTCAAAAAAGCACTCTAATGTTTAGCTAATTGCATTTAATATCATTTTTGAACTATATTAACATGCAATTAAGTGTCTGAAAACATTACATTCAGTTCCCTGTTGTATGTATATTTATTTACTTGTTTAATTTACTTTAATTTAAAAGGTTTGTTTAAAAATTTAAAAGCAGAGTAGATATGGCAGAAATCAATGTGACAAGTTAGATGGCCGGAAGCAAAGATGTGGCATTATGAAAAAAAAATTACAGAACATAAATAACAATAAAATATTTTTCTAATTATAAATAAATGGCATATAAATCTTTAAACTTATTTTGCAAGTTTCCTACTATGTGCAAATATCTGTCACATGCTCATCTATGCATGGTAGAAATGATCAATTAAGATGACCTGTGACTGCCATTGAACATTATTCTTGCCCTGTTAAGATGTTAATATTCTCTAACACAGACATGGGGGGTAACTGCGTCCCTATTTCAGTTGCCTAATGTGACTGTGGAGGGAAACAGAAAGTTTTTTTGTGTGCATATCATAGCTTTTTTTTTTTTTTTTTTTTTTTTTCACAGGGGGTATAAAAGTTATTTTTTTCTCTTCTCAAAGGAGGGGGCTTTGTTGAAAACGACTTGTTTGAGAGAGGCGGGGCATAGAGGGCCTACAATAATGTACAGTATTTGAAAAATAATGTGTTTTTTGAACATTAAAGCATGTCAACATATTCTGTTACACCAAATACACCAAATAATGATCTTTAAAAAAGCATCATATGACCCCTTTAAATATTTTCACTTCACAGTAAAAAGGAACAAATTCAATTAAAACAGTTTTAAAAATAAAGTAATTGTTAAAATAGCCATGCTTGATACCAACCAAACTATATAAATAAATAAAAATCCATGTGAATAATTTGTTCCAATTGCCTGTGTTCTTAAGTAAGTAAAGTGTGGTCTTTGGTTCTCTTGCTATTTTAATGAGGAAGAAGGAGGGCATTAGTGAATAAACAGGGTCAAAGGTGAGGGCATCAAAAATCTAGTTAAGGTAATGAGATGAAGGTCAATTCTATTCATGCAGATTGCATATGACTTAAATGCAAATATTACCTATCCTAGACCTAAGCCTTTACTTTGATCATATATTCCTAGATCATGAACCATGAGCCAAACAGAAAAGATTTGGGTGAGTTGAGGTCATCTATGTGTACAGTCACAGGGCGGCGATAATTAGTACAACTGAAGCTTTAGTAGAAACATCAAGCTGAAGTATGACTTCAAAATAGAGTTTAACGTCACATAACTAGGTGGATATCAGTAGCAGGCTGGCTAGAAATAACATTTCTTGTGCAATGAGATCATATTCATACATGAGCTAATGGAAGTGAATTCATAAAAACAATAAGATTATTTGCATACAGCTGACCATGTGAGGTTGGATTGGCAAAATAGCTTTGTGCCTTGATTAATGCTTATATTTTGAGGATTAACACACGTATTGGACTCTAAATTGTTTCCAGCTTAGAGAGGTTAATACAGCTAGCTTCTGACTTGGTTTAAATAGTTATCTCAGTATTTCACAACCTTTTCAATCTATTTATTACAAAATCTGATTTAGAGACAATGTTTTGTTGTTAAAGGGACAGTTCCCCTAAAAATAAAAATTAATTCACCTCAGCAAAACATGTATGACTTACTTTCTTCTGTGGAACACAAAAGACAATATTTTTTAAAATAATCAACTGTTTTTCTCTATATAATTAAAGTCACGGAGGTCCAGAACAACACTGGACCCAAATGACTTTCATTGGACAAAAAACACAGAGATGTGACCCTCTCTTTTCAGAATAAATCATTGTGTTTTCCATAGAAAAACAGAAACTTACACAGGTTTGTGATGGCATGAGGGCGATTAAATGATGAAGGAATTTTCATTTTGGAGTGAATAGTCCCTTTAAACACAACTTTACCTTCTTCATTCCACATTCATTGATGGTTGTGCCATATACTATCTGTTCTACCCAGAACTTACCCTGTGGGGTCACTGTTTTCCAGGGGTTTGGTGGGTACATGAAAGCAGCGTTCTGGATTTGGTCATGAATGTCTTCATCTTCATTAAAGGGGAAGGTTCCACTGAGACTGACATAGACGATGACACCCACCGACCACATGTCTAGCGAGCGGTTGTAGCCCTTGTTCCGAAGCACTTCCGGGGCGAGGTATGCCGGGGTGCCTACCACCGAACGCCTAAAAGACTTCTCACCAATAATACGTGCAAAACCGAAATCACACAGCTTCACCTGCAAGACAAACCAAAGAATAATGAGCTTCACAATAAGCAGACACTGGAAGGAATTGGCTATTTTACTCGACTAGGACTGAGATGCACAAAAGACCAAAAAAATAACATCCTTTTGTTCTCGCGCTAGCTTTTAACACCACAGACGCTGTAATGATCAGTTGTCACAGTCTGAACGAAAGTCAAGTGAAATTATCACCCAGTTGGATGCGGTTACAATGCATCTCCTGCTGATCTACACTTTCCACCTTTAAAACATTTGTGCACAGCGACAAGCACCTGAGGACATGAGAACCGAGCTCAGATGTTGACAGCTTTAGTTCTGCTTCCACCTTTGCAAAATATTTGTAAATGACACACAGTGATTTGTTTAGTATTCTTCCAAAATGTTTGCCTGAGCTCAAACAGCGAGTCATCTTTCTGCTCGAGAGCCTCCAGAGACAAGCTCGTGCAGTAGACAATGGGAGGATAATTTAGAAATCTTTCATTAGAATGTAGAGACACACACAACCCTGTGCCTCGAACGCACCATGAGAACGCTATAATTACCATCTTTTATTCTTGCCAATTTACAAAAACAGATCCATTTATGTTAATTTCGGTGTGGCCTCGCTTCATTCAGATATTTCCTTTCTTTTGTTGTCGCTCCTCGTTCTGTTCGGATTTTACTCACTTGTGGAAAAGAGTCAGCGGAGGCTAACAAAACATTCTCAGGTTTGAGGTCACAGTGAACAATGTTTTTGAAGTGAAGGTGGCGGAGAGCGATGAGAATCTAGGAAAAGAGTGGAACAGCATTATTATTATAATGCGGTATAAAACATTGTAAATAAAAATGCAAAAGCAAATGTCCAGCTTTACCATTTATTTTTGCTTTAAATATTTATATGGGATCGTGTGTACTGATTCTGCCATTGTTGCGCTAGAATCAAGAGTGTGTGAAACACAGTTCCTGTGAGACGAACCTGCATAACGAGAAACTTGGTGATGCGTTCTGGCAGCCTCCCCTTCTGACTTGACAGTATCATCTCCAACATGTCGCCATGGAGCTTTTCCATGACAACAAAGACACGCTCTGGTGTCTCAAACATGCACTCAAGGTTGACAATGCCGGGATGGTGGAGGTTCTACATAAGACAGATACAACATTTATATTAATATTTATATTTATTATTAAAATTCCTAAATTGTCAATATTGTAATATTGATGTTTAATCTAAATCATTTTTATGGACAAACATGGATTAAATATGTATTGAATATAACTATGAAATAATTCATAAATCCATACTCTTATATGTGTGTGTGTGTGTATTACATCAATATTAGTCCATTACATTTAGCAATTTTTCTATTGTGTGTGTGTGTTATTTGTGTATTTACCTGGAGAATGGCAACTTCATTACGCAGCTGACTTTCCTGTTTGGTGGGAAATCGCAGTTTATCTATGATCTTGATGGCAACATCTCTGCCTGTTTTCCTGTGTTTTCCTGTGTTATATCAGAAAGGATGATTTATATTGTGGTGTGTTTATTTTTTTCATCCATTTATTGGATGTAAAGTATGGTTATATGTAAATGTCTATTACAATGCTTACCCTCATTACACATTCATTTTACCACTTACAATTTGTAAAAACAAAAAAAAAGCTCTGTGCTGTATTTAAATATTAAAAAATTTAAATACAGTAAAATATGCATTAAGTATTGTCCTATTATACAGATTCCAAAACATTTCCTCCCCGGGTGCTCATGTCAGAGAACTCTATCTAAATAGACTGGTACATTACCTCCATAGACAATGCCAAATTGCCCAGAGCCAAGTACTTCATCAGGGAAAATCTGATACACTGTGCTAATATCCTGTAAGAAAAACAGAAACAAAATGTAAGTGTATGTGCCAAAATGGGCTGTTCCCAAGATCATCATAAACACATTTAAGGTGCTCATTTTTCTTATTGAGTATAATAAATGGCCATATATAATGTATTCTCCAAAATGTCTGGATGTGATTTTATAGCTATCATTTATCACAAAAGCCTGTGTCCAGATACTTCCCTACTACAATATGCCAAAAGCAGTACATGAAAAAAAATTATCTCAATATGCAACATGACACAGTAGGTGTAAAATGGCCTACTGTAAGAACTGCGGTACAGTTGATATTGCATGTCTCATGGCAATGCCAGCATGCCGGACGTTAATTGCATTCATGCTACACACCTGCATATGTATAGAATGTACTTGAATGATGATCAACAAGGTATTTATCAAAGGCAGTACATATTTGCACACAATGTAATATTACAACTACGCTGCATGTCTGTATTTGTTGTGTTTTCCCCCCTAGAAACATTCTAAGGGTCTTCGCATGAGCCCCTAAATGTTTCACCATGAAGTTCATACTGTGGTGGCTGTGATGGCCGCCGTGAGATATGCCCTTGGCGATGACAGGCATAAGTGCATGCTGGATGGCCATCTCCCACATGCGGGCCACGTCCTGTCCCACGCCGCTAATAAGCACGCTGCTTCCGTAGCCCGGTGTTCCCCTGTCGGCTCGAGCCAGGTTTTCTCCCACATAGTACACCAGAGATGCTGTGGTGATCTCAAAGCAATGTGGGTTGGCACCCTCAGGCAGAAGGTTGAATGTTTTCGCTGGTTCCAGAGACAGTACCTCAGATAGAGGAATTTCCTGTTGGAGAAGGTTAAGAGGTCTTATCTGAAAGCTGAAACCTCAATGATATTGCAGAGACATGCGTGTGGATCTGATGTGTGCAGTGATCCATGAAACCTATCAAGACAAACTATCGACATTATCAAAGAAAATGCTGAAAGCCCTCTAGATACTTCCTAGATTAATTTGTTAATGTGCGTTTCAAGTGTCAGACAGTTTGACTTGAAGCTACCTTATAGTATTTGCTCCCAGTGTCATTCTGGAACAGGGTAATACACTTGCTGTCAAGTCGCCAGTAATGTCTCTTACGCTAGTGTGGGAAAAAAACAACAGTTAAAAGAAATGATCATATATACAGTATGAAAAGTTCACTTGGCAATTCACCTATTAATTCATAAGGTTTAAAATGGAAACCCAGAGCACTTACCAATGTGTCTTTGCTGGTGAAATGCACAAGCCAGCCTTCTTTCATAACATTGCTGCTTTTCCTCTTGGTGTGTTTGACAGACTGAACCACTCGCATAAGTGGGATGTTGTTGCTGGTGGAAGGGCTTACAAACATGGTGACAGGTCAAAACCTTCTAGAACATGTCAATAGCAGGTCAAAAACTATTTCATAGCATTAGAATACTCATACTGCAACCCTCTACATTGCGAGTAAATCACTCGCATATGCGACTAAATCTTACTCTTGGCGACTAAATGATGTCTAATATTAGCCAATTGCTAATAAATTCTATTAATATCTAC